CGGCTGTAAAAATTTAAAACATGTTATTAAGAATCACCAATTACCATTTAATTATTCATGAACTAGGTTTTCAAGACTTACAATAAACAGATCAAGGAAAGTTTGTCATACTAAAGTAAACATGTGTTTTAATTTGATCTGAATCGATCAGTTCTGCAAATATCATGCTCACTTTCTCATAACGAGGTATTCTGCAGATATCATGCTTTCTTTCACATTGCGAGCTATTCTGCAGATGTCATGTTCACTTTCTCAATACAAGGTATTATACAGATATCATGCTCACTTTCTCATTACAAGGTATTCTGCAGATGTCATGCCCACTTTCTCATTACGAGATATGATGCGAATGGCATGCCTTCTTTCTCATTATGAGGTATTTTCGAGATATCATGCTCACTTTTTCATTAAGAGGTATTCTGCAGATAGCATGCTCACTTTCTCATTACGAGGTATTATGCAGCAGATATCATATTATGCAGATGTCATGCCCACTTTCTCATTCATTTATTACACTGTCGGTTACTAAAAATTGATTACAAATATAACATATAGTGAGGTGCTGGGGTTTATAAAAATATAATATAACATAAAAGAGAGGCGAAAGATACCAATGGGACCTATGTAAAAACAACATTTTTATTATCATATTAACTTCAAATAGTAAATGCTTAAAGATGGTTCAAAAATAAGTAAGGTTCCAAAATAGAATAAAAAGTAAAACTATTTCAGAAGCTAAATTATTCCTTAGCATCACTAGGCCTATGCGAGCATAGAGACGCTTATGTCCTTTTTTTCGTATAACTGCGTGAAAAGATGCCTCTTACTGACACAAAATACTTAAGAAAATTCCTTTTCATTCAAAAAGATTAAAGAAATATTTGACACTTTATTCCATAACACACCGACACAAGTAACTAAAGAGACCTACTTCGATTTCAGGCGAATTTACTAAATTACGGAATCACTACAATGGAATAAAATTATATTCTGACAGATCAGGCTGCATTTAGATCATAATATTCCTTTCAATCTCAAAATATTCACTGCTAAAAAGTCGACCTACTGGTTCTTAACATTCCCCTTATAATTCCTTTATTAACCTTCGAGCCCCTCCCCCTTCGGAAAAGGAGTTTTTGGGTCCGTCCACGATTGAAAGAACCTGCTCGCGAAATATAAAAAAAAGTTGACTGGTTATATTTCTCTTTGTACTTACACGTTAATAGAATGCAAGAGCGCTTGTTAAATTATCGAAACTTACCAAAATTTCCAATAATACTCCTTTCCATGATGGGAACATTTTTTGATGAAATCAAATAAATAAAGCAAAACAAACACCAGTGTGATATTCCCATCTGAAAAGATTGCTTGGTATTAATAATTCTTCAAATTTCATTTCCTTTAATAAATATTGTTCATGTATCTGCTGTGTGGTTAAGATTTAGTCGTTTTCGGTTAAAATACAAGAAATAATAACTTATAGGTTTTCGTCCCCGCCATTTTAAAGGTTTCGTTGTACAAGCTTTACATGTCAAAATAAATTATATCGAAATTTAAAAAAGGAAGACAATTACTGTTCTCTTAAATGTCAATAAGATGAAATATTTCAAAGATAAAATGAACCAGATGATAATAACCATTTAGTTTTCAGATCTTCTTGTTGACTTTACACAGGACCCTCCAATCTTAAGACATCTTCTTGTTGACTTTACACAGGACCCTCCAATCTTAAGACATCTTCTTTTTAAATCATGATACTAATTGTATCCGATTGAGTAAGACTTTGATACTCTACAACTATTAACAGACAGTATACCTTATATGAGGATTGATGAAAATTCTTTGATATGGTATTAATAATAATAATTATTTTGAGTGTTCCTGTTCTATTGGTGTCTGTATATATCGTTATTACAGAGCTCAGTTCTTTTCTGAGCCGATCTTTATTGCACGTTCTCGTGATTATTTTGTTATCCCACTGGTAGAGATTAAAAAGGGGTGTTTAAAGAGATCTAAAACTGCATGTTCGTGTACCGTCTTAAGCCAGAAACTTCCAAGTGTTGTCATAAATAATTAACATATCTTTCAAAATGATTTTGTTTCCGAGTATTTTGTATTGATGGCAGTTCTTTAATAGTCTATGTTCTTCACAACTTTTCTACACTCTATGTTCTTCACAACTTTTCTACACTCTGTGTTCTTCACAACTTTTCTACACTGTGTTCTTTACAACTTTTCTACACTCTATGTTCTTCACAACTTTTCTACACTCTGTGTTCTTCACAACTTTTCTACACTCTATGTGATTTACAGCTTGACATATTGTATATTTGTAATCATTTCCCACGGTTGAAGATATCTTTATTATTTTGTGATGTAGGGTTGTTGTCTAATTAACGTTTTGCAAGCAACTTAATTTTTTCATATTTACCTTAATATATATAAGTGGTTTGATCTGTAAACATTGAGAGACTGTCCTCGGTTTGATTGTTTTGTAAGCACTCAGAGAGTGACCTTAATTTGACTTTGATACATTATTACTAAGTATTTTGTTTTATTTTGTACAATTTTTATGAACTTCTAACCTCACTGACTGTACGTCTCCCATCTGTCATAAAGTTGAAGCATCGGTTTAATGTCAATAAGGACATGACTTAAAAAAAAGATACCACCAACTCAGTAAGTGTGTGTGTGTGGGGGGGGGGGGGGGGGGGGGGTTAAAAACACAACAATACGCAAATAATTCAAATTACCAGCTAATATCTAAACAAAACATTAAATTGTAAATTAACTGTCTCACCAAACATTTGATACATGATTACACGTATAGCTTTTCTCTCAATGATCATATTTGATAGAACATATAAATAAGCATGGTGAGTACAGTAAAGAACAATTCAGATTCATGTGAAATGTCTTAATTTTAAAATCACATTGTATGATCTGTGACATGTGTAAACACGTATTTTCTATAAGTGACTAAATGTTTCTTATGTACGTTGTCATAGGAATGGATATATTATAGTCCATACCTTTCTTCAATCAAGATTAGATTGTCTCCTTCTAGCTACATGTAATTACCCTTTTAAAACTAGTTGGTGTTGGAAAGTCTCTCTCACATACAATTCAGTAAGATTAAAAACGGAGAATCCCTGCTTAAATTCCACGGCTCAGTTATTATATATATGCTTATTGCATGCTCTAGTTCAGAAAGGTGTACAAGTGTAAATTGTTTCATGAAAAGTGTATAATTTAATATTGGTAACAGTATTTGAGCAAAATCTTATACCAAAATATTTTCCACTAGAATCAAAACATTTTTTTTTATATATTTTGCCACTCCAAACATCGGTTACGATTTATAGTTTATTTGTATTTTATAATGAAGACTGCAAAGTCTGCTGACAATTTATATTTTCGAATGATGGTAAAATAGGCATTGTGATCTTGGACTTCCACCTACTAAGTAAGTATCTACAGGGGTCTTATTCTTTCCAAGAGTAATTCGCAAGCTAGTTTTGGTGAATATTTGACATATAGATGTAACCCAGATACTAAATCTTTTTGACCCGATTTCAGTCTTTCAATTGCTGCTGTGACCTTAACCTTTGATTTGGAGAACGAAAATTGATAAAAGTCTTCTTCATCCCAAGGATTTTAACACACCAAGGTTGATGAAAATTGGACACATAACAAGGTCCAGAAACCAAACTTCAGTCGATCAATAGCTGATGTGAACTTGACCTTTAAATATTAACCCCAAAATCAATATGGGTGCTCCTCATTCTATGGGTGCATTATCAAAATAAGTTTGGAAATTTGGACATATAGTTCAAACGATAACATCTGGAAACCAAAATGTTGCTCAAAGAGTTAGGGACCTTAACCTTTGATCCATAATCATAAGGTTTTTCCTAAGTTCATGGTGCAACTGGCCAAGTTTGGTAAAAATAAATGTTGTGGATCAAAATACTTTGTCTTGAAACCAACATGTTGACACCTACCCAGAAATTCAGACAGCATTTATCATACTTTAAGTCGAGTTTGACTTCATTGCAACTTAGCTAATCATGATTATTGTCAGAAATTTAATATATCAAGTGTACTATGTACATGACAGTATGCCTTAGCATTTCAAAATAAACCAAGCACTAACAGTCCGAAGTCCCCAGCTATCAAGAACAAAATTGATACAGGAGAGCCATTGTCCACAACAGCAATACTGGAATGTTCAAAATCACTTGCATTTCCAAGGGACACAACTTCCCTTAAATAATGTTGATAACAAAACGGATTTTAAAAATAGTATGAGATATTTCAGATTTTAACCTTTTACATTCATTCTTTTAAAACTCCAAAGACAATGTAGGGTGTGAGAGCTCTTCCATGTTTGATTTTTTTCATATTATTTACATTTCCAAGAGGAAAACTGAAGAAAAAAAATTGAACACTGCTGACTATTCAATTTGTCTGATCTATTACTGATGTTGACATTTGACAAGATTCTCATTCAACATCAATGAGAAATGATGGTGCAATAATACTTACAATTTAATTTACCAGATTATATACAATTTCAAGGGTCATAACTCAACCAAAATTATTTATCAGCACTGATTTTTATTCCGTTCTGTGATATTTCTGATATAAACTTTTGACACAAATTTCATTAAACTCTGATGAAAAATGAAGCCATGCAAGTGCTTACCATATAAATTTTCCATATCAGCTTGTATAAATACTTCCACAGGCATATCTTCCCCATGATGACTGCTTTATTATTAACACTTATCACAGGCATAACTCACCAAAAAATAAAATATCAGCCCTGAATTTTGAATTTGAACCAAATAGTTGATATAAATATTATCAAAATCTATGAGAATGTTAAGAGTACTAACAACGTTTGAAGGACATCAGAATTTCTAAATCACCCACCCAAGCCAATTTGTGGCAGGACAATAACCTTGTGATTTGGAAATTATAACAATAAACAAAACTAAACTTTGGCACAAACTTTAATGAGATCAAACAATTTTTAAGCATTACAATAAAATATATAAAAATAGATTTTTTTTATCAATAAATAACAAAATATATTGGGAATGTATCAAGATTTCTGTTATAAGCATGATAACAATGCCTTTCAATAAATAAGTTTTATGTTTTTAATATACAGAGCAAAATCAACAATATTTTGTTCCATAATTACTAGCATCACTGTTTTTTTTCATTATTTTTCTTACAATATACTAACATAAAAAAACAATTTGTACATGATCTGAAAGCAATGTTATAAATTTGTTTCCATGTCTCAAAATTTTATATGTACTTCAAACTTACTTGAGCTATAATGTACATGAAATAAAAACAGGAGTTCCATCCATAAAGAAAAATTTTTTTTTTTATTAAAATAAGCCTAATAGTAATTATAATAAGTGGTACACAAAAATTTACTCAATAGAAAAAAATCAAAACAATTTATGCACTATTTTGTATTAGTGGCGATTAAATAGATATGACTTTGTAAGGGTATGGGAGCAACATTGGAAATCGGTACTATCTGAAGCTGAGAGAGGTTGTAAAATGCAAGTTGCTGTACATATAAATACAGAAGTTGCTGTACACTATCGAAACTTTGTCTTCAAGATTTACATAATTTTAAAGACAATTTTTGAAAATTAAGGTCTTGTGTATTTACTGTAAAGTGGGTCATAATTGAATTATAGGAAAGAAATATCCAACATTTAGATGCATTAAATCAGCAACTTTTCTTGAACTGAAGTAATCAGTGCCTCTTTTTTCCGGTACTAGATGGTGTTTGGTTTTTTTTTACCTCCAGATAAACGCTGATGTCTAACATTCCTAAATGATTTGGGGAACAGGTCAATTCCCAATATTTCATTATACAAATCTTTAGACATTTGCAAATAATTGCAAATGCATAAAAAATTGGAATTCTTAACTGCGACTACAAAATTTGACAACTTCTCTCCCCTTCAGCTAGTACCAATATCCGGTGTTGCTCACATACAGTTTGTATTCAAAATTGAATATAACATGTAAATGTTTCTCCTTGCTTCATTATTACAAATACTAGAAAAAATTACAAAAAAACGAAACCAAATGTTAAATATTCAATTGATATTTGAGAAGCTTAAAAATTGGTTTAAAATTATGTTATACTATAACTTGTAACATATTTACATAGGAATTATAGGGATGAAAGATTATTTATTCATCACTGTTTTGTTAATGAGACTATGGAAACAGTCTTTTTTTTACAAGGCAGTGCTCGCTCTAAACACTTGTGTTAAAATTATATGTACAGGTAAAAAAAATTTTGTGAACATTTCTTTTATTCAAGTCACTTTGCTTAAATTTTTTTTTGTGATTTTTTTTTCTTTCTGTTACTTCTAGTATAAATATTTCAATAGCATATAATACAATAATTTAAACTTGATATGTGATTGAAGAGAGAACTAAAATAACAAGAAATCTACATAACAGATAATTAAGTATTTCTAGTCAGTAACGCCACTGTTAAAAATGAATACAACACAAGCAACAGTACATAAAAAACTAAAATGTAAATTAAAAGATTCATTGTCATGTACCCACCTAAAAAGAAGGGTAAACTTGGGTGCTCCTGACAGGTGATAAGTTCCTGCTGTAATAAATGCTTCCTGCATACCTAGTTAAATGACCAGGAGATAGTAATTCTTAAGCCAAAACTCTAAATTCTCACCAATCAATTTAACACTATGGAACTGTTTTAGTTAACTCGTACATATATCACCTCTTCACTCAGAAGTCACTCTAGTAAAGGAAAGACACAACAAACACATTATAGAATGGGAGGTAATGACAGCCCCCCTTATTAATGATGCACTAAAAAGGTCTTGTCATTGAAATTAAAATGGCTAATGGGTGGAAATCTAAACTGTTTTCTTATAAATTTAACAGTTATAAAATTATTATAGAAGGTGCTGGGCATCACACCAAATAATTTTATATATCATAAGCAACAATTTTCACAAAAATTACTCAACCAGAAAGCCACTCAAACTATCTATGCAAATGATTCATGCATTGCCGAATAAAAATGCCCAAGAATAATATTTGTAAGTATCTTTCTATGTCCTAGGGCCACAACTATGCAAACATTACCGTTACTCTACCAGAATAAAATTCAATCTTAACCTATACCTTTTCATGATATGACTTTATAACAAATATATGTTATCAATAGATTGTATCAGAAAGGTATTATCACAGCCATCAGACTCTAATCAACTAATGATAATATGGGGGGAAGGGCATACTCAAGGGACAAAATAGGGTTCACTAAAAAGTTCTTATAATGCCAATTAAGAATGTACATGATCAAGAGGTGGGGATCTGAATCGATTTTTAAATATTTAACAATATATTACATGAGGTGGCAGGACATGAACCCAGGGTAAAAATCTAAAGCATACAATAATATTGTCTTTGGGCTGGACATAAGAGTTCCCAAAAAATTAAATTACTTAATCTTAATTTTAAAGGTCAGTCCAGATGTTATCTGGAATGGTATGCAACACATCTTCTTATGATGTCAAACACCTATGTCAAAGAAATATCATTAATAATAAATTGTTTTGACCTAAAGGTCAAAGGTCAAGGTTACATGAAATTGATGATAATATTGAAATAAATTGATTGTTGGTGTTTTATAATGCCTCACTCTTGACTATATCATGACTGTCAGTTTTTATTGGTGGAGGAAACTGGAAAACAAGAGAGAAATATGACTTTCACCAGGAAACCTTAAACCTCTCACATTCCTTGTCAATTAAGATTAGTCCAAAGTATCTACCACTAGAAGGTTTGGAACTTTAAACCTCAGTTTAAGAACGGCTAGTGATCAATGTAGATTAACTACTTAGACCACTGGGCATTGCACTAAGGTCCCTTATGGTAATACAGGTTCATGCTTAATATAAATGGTAACACACCTTCAAACCTACTATCAATGGTAATACACCTTCAAACCTACTATCAATGGTAATACACCTTCAAACCTACTATCAATGGTAATACATCTTCAAACCTATCAATGGTAATACACCTTCAAACCTACTATCAATGGTAATACATCTTCAAACCTTCTATCAATGGTAATACATCTTCAAACCTTCTATCAATGGTAATACACCTTCAAACCTAATATCAAAGGTAATACACCTTCAAACTTAATATCAATGGTAATACACCTTCAAACTTAATATCAATGGTAATACACCTTCAAACTTAATATCAATGGTAATACACCTTCATTCTTAACATACTTAATACATGTATCAATAATTTAATGTCATAAGATGAAATAAGGTTGAACCCTGACAAGGATGTATGAGAACCAGAACTAGAAAAACAAGACAAAAAACTACTAAAACAATAGGTCTCACTTCATTGAAAAGGAGACAGTTAATGAGAAAGATTTATTCCAGAATGTAACACATTGGCACTGATAAGTGAAATTAGATTAACTCAACCTAAGTAAATGCAACATAAAATGCAGATCAGGGTTACCATGAATGTCTAGCATATAAATAAACTGTTATCACAGAGATATGTCTCGCCTTTTTGTAATTTTGATAATGCAAACGTTGAAATTAAAATAGCAATACTTTAACATGTAAGTTATGCAAATATTCAAAGTCGATAAACCATGACTGAAGGTACATGGCTAAACAATCTCCATGGAATGAGATGTGCCAATGCTAATACAACTGCATACCAAATACCATTGACTTATTATAAATCGTTCCCTTTAAACAAACCTATGTGGGACTATATAATCACCATGGAAACGATACTTGCAAATGCCAATAAATTTGCATACCAAATATCATTGACTTAACATTAGCAGTTCATCTTAAACTGATCTAATCACAAACTAATACATGTAAACTAAGCCAAATATTCAAAGTAAATAGACCATGACTGAGGGGGCGGGGCCAAATATTCCCCATGGAAATGAGATGTGCTAATGCTTATACAACTGAACACCAATTAACATTGGCCTACCACTTATGGTTCCCCTTGAACTGACCTAATCACAAACTGATACATGTTAACTTAGCAAAATTTTCAAAGTCTATAGACCTTGACTAAGGGGGCGGAACCAAATAATCTCCATGGAAATGAGATATGCCAATGCTTATACAACTGCATACCAAATATCATTGATCTACCACTAGTGGTTCCCCATAAATTGACCTAATCACAAACTAATACATGTAAACTATGAAAAGTTTCAAAGTCAATAGACCTTGACTAAGGGAGCAGGGCCAAATAATCTCCATGGTAATGAGATGTGCCAATGCTAATACAACTGCATACCAAATATCATTGACCTACCACTAGTGGTTCACCATGAATTAGACCTAATCACAAACTAATACATTGTTGACACCGCTGACGCCAGAAACAGCATACCTTTGTCTCGCTTTTTGACTCCGTCAAGGCGAGACAAAAACCAATGAAAATGAAATATGAATAAAGTATGACAAATATAAGGGATGTGGTTGACTATACTAGAAGTAACTTCACAACAAGTTACAGGAATATAGGTCAATTGTTTTATTGGAAATGGCTATTGCTACAGAAATAGCAACAGTCTGGTTGCTAAGGGTACCATAAGTCAATCAACTTTGTTGACCTGAATTAGCAAGTATAATTTATAACACTATGAGCAACTGTATAATATCAAACATTCTAGCTGATGTAAAATTAAATTCAAGAATAAATTCAATATATCAGACTACTTCTGTACAAATCACCATTGATGTTTTCTTGCAATGTTTTAGAACTACCTAAAATTGGTAAACACAATCCCTCATGTTAAAGACTGACCTCAATGTGTATTCTAATTAAAGACAATTATTCTACTTTTATTTCAAGCATTCTCTTTAGGCTTTTAAAACCATTTTGACTGAGGTGAAACATTAGCTACATCCATTAATACACAAAGACATTGTTCAATAAATTCTATAAATAAATATAAGTAATACATTTGAACAGTTTTTGTATAGATTTGATAATCTCAGTACTGACTATTAAGTAGATAAGATACAGTAAAGATATGACATTGTTTTATCCTCCTGAAATATGGAAACAGTCAATGTTCATGCATGAATGTACTTTTCAAATAAACAAGAAAAATATAACCTCATGACTCACTTTCATAGTTTTTTTGCTGAAAGATTTGGGAATTTCCAATTTTTTGCAATTTTTTAGAAAAATATCATAACTTTAAACAAGAACATACATGTTCCTCTCTTCCAGATTTCTACAAAACCTTCTAATTTGGCAGGCATTTAATATATTAACAAATTATAAGTGAATTAAAATTCAAAATATTTTAAATTAAGTATCTAATATTGCAATAAAGGATTTTGACTAGCAATTAAAAAAATAGACAGAAAATAATTTGGCATTGTGTATTTTTAAAATTTTTATACAGCATTCCGAAGTTAGTGCATATTCATCCAGCCAAGAAAAATCGGGAGTTCCTATGACAGCTTTTGAAATTTATCGTTTTCCATTATTCCATAAGAGACATTACCTTCCCTGGCCTCCTACTGTATCATATGCCCTTAAATCATTTTCGAGTATCATTCTCAATCCTAATTGCCATTCTTTAATTAAAAAAAAGTATGGATTTAATTCAATCTATGATTTAAAAATATTGGTCAAATAATAGTTGCCGTCAGAAATTCCTAGTAAATTTTCTTAAGACCTATTTTTCATTATTTTCCTTACAGGCACAGAAGGGTTCATGGGGGACAGTCTTAGAAATTGAACCCATCAACTAACCAACAAAAATGAGATCTCCAGCATACAGATTGTCATGTGATATTTCATGGGTAACAGGACAACTTACCATTTTTTAAAGAATCTATCCACTAAATGATAGACATTATTTTTAATACCATCTTTTTCAGATAGGCATAACTGCAACGTAAATATTTAATCAATACTGTTTATTTAATTCATTATAAATAAAATGTATATGTTGATGTTACAAATTAATTTGATTAAAATTTTAAACAATAAGTAAGTTTCACGTTTTATTTTAATAATTGAAATGATTCCATGGTTCTGTGGGAACATAGAATTTACATACCTACTGTGCATAAAACCTTTATAAATTATAAAAAAGGAAATGATTTATTGCAGATGCAGATAGGTAAAAAGTTTGAAAGATGTCTTCTGGCAACTATTATTTAATGTATATAAAACTTCCACTTTTGTCTAAAAAGAAATAAATCAATGCAGTGTTCTCTGCTCCTTGTACTATGTTAAGTATGGTTCAATGTACTTGTTGAACACAGTTGTATTTCTGTACCAGTAAACATGTTCTACTCCAGGTATAATGTATGTATCTATTGCTCCTCTACCATCTAATTCCTTCAATCCAAATGTATCATTTAAAAAATACTGAAAGAAACATAAAGTTTGAAATTAAGAAATATACAATATTGACTACTGGTGATTTATTCCTACTTTAGATGTACTTGATTATGATAATCTTACATTGATTTGAATGCTAACTACCCAATTAGTACTCTTTATTTATACCTAGCAATCAACATGTAAAGAATACAAACTTGTTATACTTTTTGATTACACATGAGCCTGGTTTATCTCTAAAATATTAAAAACAAAACTTCTTTCCAATTATTGATAGAAAATAAATGGAAAATGTGTCCATGGGACACAGATGATGAACCCGTCTGCATATATCATTATAAAGGGACATAAGAAGAGAACTGTAAAAGTGATGCCACCGAAAATCGAAATTGATCTGTGTTTTGTGGTAATAAGTATTATGTATTAGTTTCATATCATTTAGTTGAGGCAAACTAAAGTTAGAGAACGGAAACAAAAAATTCAGCATTTTTTCCATTTATGAAGGGGCATAACTCCAAAGTGACACCACCCAAATTCAAACTTGATCTAATTTTTGTGATAATAAGCATTGTGTATAAGTTTCATAACATTGGGTTAAGGCAGACTCAAGTTAGAGAACGGAAACCAATTTGGGGAGGTACGTAAGGACTGAAGTACAGACAGACAAGGGTAAACCTTAATGCCCCCTCCACTTATCACCAGTTCATTCAAATGCATTGAACTATCATATGAAGTTTCCTAATTTTACAGGGGACATCGGTGGGCAAGTGGTCTAAGTAGTCAAACTACTGTATCACTAGCCAGTCAACACTGAGGTTTAGAGTTTGAATCCCGCATTTGGCAGGTGCACTTGACTCCAATCTTAATCAACAAGGATTGTCAATTTTCCTATCGAAGGTCATGGTTCTCTCTGGGCACTCCTGCTTCCTCCACCAATAAAAACTGACCAACACGGAATAGCACAATAGTGCTGAAAGTGGCAGTAAACACCAATCAATTTGACATTTAAAACAAAAACAAATAAAATATTTCAGAATTTCTAGCAAATCTTTAATATTGTAACATTTTACCCTTTTCAGTCAAATTACTAAAGTATGCCCACACATGAAATATTGTAGAACGTGAAAATATTAACCTGTTTAATATTATTCTAGGTGACTTATAGGTTCATTGGGCCAGGTGTATTCATATTACTTGTATATTATATCTTTATAGTTTGTACATATTTACACATGTCATAACAATAAATAACTATTGCTACATATTTACACATGTCATAACAATAAATAACTATTGCAACTCTATACTACTATTGAAGCCATGTTTTTTTAAACATTCAAATTTCTAAATTGTTTAACTAACCTCTTGATTTCTCATTTCTTTGATTTTTTCATTTTCATCATAAAATCCAAAATGGCTGAAATGGAAAGCAATTTTATGTCAGGTAAATAAATAAATAGCTGTGCCATGAGCGCATGATACGCCCGTCGCTTTTTCAAAGAATAAAGTTCAATATCTTCTCAATATCATATCAGACATGCCAGAAATTTATAAAAAAACTAAAGGGATGTTATTTTAATAGATATAAACCAGTCACCAAAGTTAACTCAAAGCACTTTTGAGTTATTGTCCGAAAACTTGAAAATCACCCCTTTTTTTATTAATAACCCATAACTCGGAAATGTAAAATCTAAAATTTATAAAAATCAAAAGGGCCCTTTACGTCAATAGATATAAATAATTCACCAAAGTTTCATGAAAACTGCTCAAAGCATTTTTGAATTATTGTCTGAAAACTGGAAAATCACCCCTTTTTTATAAATAAAATCCTGTAACTTAGAAACGTAAAATCTAAAATTCATAAAAATCAAAAGGAAGCTCACATCAATAGATATAAACAATTCACCAAAGTTTCTTGCAAATTGGTTAAAGCGTATTTGAGTTATTGTCCGAAAACTGGAAAATCCCCCTTTTTTTAACAAATAAAACCCCATAACTCGGAAACCTAAAATCTAAAATTTATAAAAATCTAAAGGGAGCTCACGTCAATAGATATAAACAATTCACCAAAGTTTCATGCAAATTGGTTAAAGCATTTTTGAGTTATTGTCCGACATGTTGACGACAGACAGACAGACAGACGAACAGACAGACAGATGGACGGACAACGGTATACCATAATACGTCCCGTAAATGGGCGTATAAAAACTAAGTTGACAAGAAAAACTATGGATATTACAAGACACCTATTTTGCAAACATTAATAGGTTTCTCACTTCATTCAGCAAAAATAATTCCAATCTATTTTATCTATCATAAACAAGTCTATCTCAAAAACATTTTGCTGCCACTGTTCGAATTTATTTTTCTTTCTATTTTTTTAATTACTAATTTGGTGCAAATTTTTTATTTCCAGTACTAAAAAAAAGACAGGAAATGTGTAATAATTCTGACATTATCACAAAATCATCCATCATAGAAAAGTGAATGGAAACAAGGAATGTGTCAAAGAGACAACAACCCAACCAAAGAGCAGAAAACAGCCCAAAGCCACCAATAGGTCTTCAACCAGTGAGAAAATTCCGCACCTGGAGGAAGGCTTCAGCTGGCCTCTAAACAATAATGTATACAAGTTCAGCAAAATGGACGCCACACTTAACTCCAAAACTTACATATTATGCATATCATCAACTTGGTGGTTGTGCTCCACTCCATAGCAGAAGGTCTTGTGTTGGATTCCTTGCTATGTCAAACCAAACACTTGAAAATTGATATTTGCTGTTTTTCGGCCAAGCATGCTGCATTTGGGAGTAAGAACAGACTGGTAGCTTCAGTCAGAATAATGTGTCTGGGGAGGAAAACATTATCCACCTTTGTACTGTTACCTCGAGAACTAGGCTCTACATGTGAGTCTATTACAAAGCAAGGTTCATAAATTCATATTTCATTAACATGTTCTTGTCCTGTTATGCATGTAATATAATTATTTCTCGCTGGGACTTAAACACCAACCCATCATCCTCCTCACCATATTATGTCTATTAAAACATATTTATAGCTTAGAGATAGAATACAAAAGTACTAAATGAAACACAACATCTAGATATATAGTTAACTCATGGAATAACAGCTATATAACTCATTTTAAATAAAGCACAACAGATCTAACATATTTACAGGACAATAGTTGCTATTTTTGGAATAAATGTTATGTATTTTGCTTCAGTATGCTGGATCGAGAAACATGTGTCCTGCACACACAAATTGGAAACATAGGTCACATTTCCAATAATAAATTTCTCTTTATATTGAGCAAACAAATAAAAAAAATTCTACGGGTTCCCTGTAACCTTGTGTATCGCCTGCAATTACTGCTGTCAGTGTAAAAGTGTAATGTTGACTGTGAACAGTCCATTCATCAGTAAAATACAGTTTTTTTAAAAAGCAAACTTTTTCTTTAAATGCTATTTATTGATGTCTAAGATTAGCTTCTGTCCAAGTTTTTAACAATCCATGAAGGTTTACAAATTTGTAATGTCATAAAAATTTAATCCCAAACTGAACATGAGGTCAAGGTCAGATGATACCTGCCAGACAGACATATACACCTTACAATCATTCCATACACCAAATATAGTTGACCTATTGCTTAAAGTTTAAGAAAAACAGACCAAAACACAAAAACTTAACATAAGCAATGAACCATGAAAAGGAGGTCAAGGTCAAATAAAACCTGCCAGACTGATATATACATCGTAAAATATTTCCATACACCAAATATAGTTGACCTGTTATATACAGTATTAGAAAAACAGACCAAAACACAAAAACTTAACATTGAGCAATGAACCATGAAAATGAGGTCAAGGTATAAAAAAAAACTGCGAGACTGACATGTACATCGTTAAATATTTCCATACACCAAATATAATTGACCTATTGCATACAGTATTAGAAAAACAGACCAAAACACAAAAAACTTAACATTGAGCAATGAAGGTCAAGATCAAATAAAACCTGCCAGACTGACATGTTCATCATAAAATATTTCCATACACCAAATATAGTTGACCTACTGCATACAGTATTAGAAAAACAGACCAAAACACAAAAACTTAACATTGAGCAAAGAACCATGAAAATGAGGACAAGGTCAAATAAAACCTGCCAGACTGACATGTACATCATAAAGTATTTCCATACACCAAATATAGTTAACCTATTGCATACAGTATTAGAAAAACAGACCAAAACACAAAAACTAAACTATTACAACTGAAACATGAAAATGAGGTCAAGGTCAGATGACACCTGCCAGTTGGACATCCTTACAATCATTACATACACCAAATATAGTAGACCTATTGCTTATAGTATCTGATATATGTACTTGACCACGAAAACTTAACCTTGTTCACTGATCCATGAAATGAGGTCGAGGTCAAGTGAAAACTGTCTGACAGGCACGAAGACCTTGCAAGGTACGCACATACCAAATATAGTTATCCTATTACTCATAATAAGAGAGAAATAACATTACAAAAAATTTTAACTTTTTTTTTCAAGTAGTCACTGAACCATGAAAATGAGGTCAAGGACAATGGACATATGACAGCAAAACTTCATATCATAATTAAGGCATCTATGTACAAAGTATGAAGCATCCAGGTATTCTACCTTCTGAAATATTAAGTTTTTAAGAAGTAAGTTAACGCCACCGCTGCCTATATCGAGCTTTCTGCGACAAAAGTCGCAGGCTCGACAAAAAAATTAAGTCCATTTATCAGTAAAACAGGAAGAAAGAAAATACTATTAGATATTTTTAAAATTTTACCCTGGATACTGTCTATTGGTCTAAAACAAGATTATGTCCGAATTTCATTAAAAATTCATGAAGGTTTAACAAAGTTATTGATGACTGAAAAACTTAACCTTAGACTGAATTGGAAAGTTAACTGTAAAAAAAAAGTCCACTTATTAGTAAAACATGGAAAAATGAAAATAAATGTTTTCAAAATTTTGCTCTGGATACTGTCTTTTGGTCATAAACAAGCTTCTGTCCAAATTCCATAAAAAATTCCATGAAGGTTTGACAAAGTTATTGATATAAAAAAAACTTTATCTAAATGTTGACAACACTGACGCAGCCATTTCAAAGTCAATAGACCATGACTGAGGGAACAGGGCCAAAAAATTTCCAAGATAATGAAATGTGCTAATGCTAATACAAATGCATACAAATATCATTGAAATACCATTAGTTCTTCCCCTTAAACTGGTTGTATCACAAACTTTAAAAAATTATTGACAGTGTAGCCACAACTGACAAAAACATCTTTGAGGCAAGACAAAAACAAGAATAAGTGTCACTATCACTATCACATTTCCATGTTTGGTGAACCACAAAATCAGGGTCAAAACCATTATTTTGCATTATAATAAAAAGATCACATCATAATGAAATGTCTACTTTAGTTTAAGTTGTTGTGACCACGACTTAATTTTAAATTACCTTTTTGGGAAAACGGTAGTATTTATTCTGCCATAGTCGAGAATACTAACATTTTCTAAATTTACCACTTTTTATAATAAAAATCTGGACAAAACAGTAATGTGTAGTATTAGTACATTATCATTCTGTTTTAGAAATTGAAGTCAAATAGTATCATGACCATCTTCCAACAGAGCTTGTTTATGTTATCCATGCACACCGTCATTTTACATCAAATTTATGAAATTTTTGAAGTCATTTCGAATAATTCTCAAGAAAATATTTCACTGGGTTTCAAAATTTATATTGTAAAATTGTAAATATACACATTGCAGTTATGCATAGATAAATAAAAAAATATATTGTACCCTTACATCAAATCGCAGCATTCATAAGTTCCTTCACCTGCCTTGGGTACACAAAAGGCCAACCTAAAGGCGGGAAAATGTAATACTACTTTTTTCCCTATACTAAAAATCTAACCTGATACATTTCCATGTTCAGTGAACTTTGAAATCTGGGTCATCAAAGTGATGTGTATTTTAGAGTTTCAAGCTGACGTGATCACAACTTAATGGTAAACAACCTTAAAACAAAATTTTGACCTGATAAGGGAGGGACAAACAGACAGACTCACTGAGAAAAACAGACAGAGGGGGGACAGAGAGACAGACTAACTGACAGAGACAGACAGAGGGATGGACAAACAGATAGACTTACTGACAAAGACAGACAGAGGGATGGACAAACAGACAGACTCACTGACAAAGACAGACAGAGGGAGGGACAAACAGACAGATTAACTGACAAAGACAGACAGAGGGATGGACAAACAGATAGACTTACTGACAAAGACAGACAGAGGGAGGGACAAACAGACAGACTTACTGACAAAGACAGACAGAAAGGGGGGACCGAGAGACAGACTAAGACAGACTCACTGACAAAGACAGACAGAGGGAGGGACAAACAGACAGACTAACTGACAAAGACAGACAGAGGGAGGGACAAACAGACAGACTTACTGACAAAGACAGACAGAGGGATGGACAAACAGACAGACTAACTGACAAAGACAGACAGAGGGAGGGACAAACAGACAAACTAACTGACAAAGACAGACAGACAGAGGGAGGGACAAACAGACAGACTAACTTACAAAGACAGACAGGGAGGGACAAACAGACAGACTAACTGACAAAGACAGACAGAGAGGGACAAAAAGGGCATGTGTTTTATTTTGTTGTGTGTAATTTTGGTGCTTCATCCAATTGATATGTTTAATTTTGGAACAACAGAAGTGAGCAAGCTCATTCATATTTGCCTTTATTAACCCGTTTATTGACAAAGTATCATTGAATTTCTCAAACTAGAAACACGACAAAGTTAACTTATTGAAGGATATCAGATACGGATGCAATTGCAAATAATTCTGTATAACGTGGTTCAAAGCTGAAAGAAAATATGAAATAAAATCTTAAACATTAAAATCACTTTTCAAATAGATTATTTAGTTTTTACAAATATCATATGAAATAAATTTTAATCATCTCTATTGCAGTACATGTTAATCTATTGATGATCAAGTATTTAAATTTTAATCCTTATGCCTCTAATTAATTGAAGATAAAGGATTACAAAGAGTTTTGATATTCCAATTACCAATAAAGGCATGTAATCAGTAATAGCCTGGCATATTTATGACATGTGTGAATAGAAATTCATGTTGTGTTTTCTTAACAATTTCAGAAAATTGACAATTAGGTAAACATTATATAGCGTTGTTGTCAAATTATACCAGGTATCTATTTGCAAATTTGGCTATGTATAGAATTGTAGGAAAGATATAATAACATAAAATATTTTCCCCAACAATTAACATTACGATATTGTCGTGCCGGTGCACGATTTTGGCGTTTCAATTTTTAGTGTTGATTTATTTTCGTGTGTTTAATTTTGGCACTTTCTTTTGAGGCACCAAATAAACCAAAATAATACTACAACCAAAATAACCCAATTTACGGTATTAGGTCTCAAATGTTTTAAAAGTTTACTCAGGATGTTTTACATTAATTTTATTATTACAAACCAAATGATATTAAAAAAATAAATGGGGAAAGTGTCCATGGGACACAGATGATGCCCCCACTTGTCTATCATATAAAGTTATAAAGGGACATAACTGAAAAACGGTAATAGTGACACTACCCAAATTTGTATTTGATCTGAGTTTTGTGGTAGTAACAATTGTGTATAAGTTTCATAACATTTGGTTGAGGCAAACTTAAGTAAGAAAACGGAAACAAAAATTCAGCAATTTTTTCCATTTGTAAAGAGGCATGACTCTAGAACAATAAGAGTGACACCCCAAAAAAACAAACTGGATCTGTATTTTTTAGTAATAAGAATCGTGTATAAGTTTCATAACATTTGGTTGCGGCTAAATTAAGTAAAAGAACGAAAACAAAAAATTCAGTAATTTTTCCATTTGTAAAGGGGCATAACTCTAGAACAGTTAGAGTGACACCCCCAAAATTCAAACTTGATCTGTATTTTGTAATAACTTAGCATTGTGTATAAGTTTAATAACATTTGGTTGAGGCTAACTTAAGTTAGAGAACGGAAACAAAAAATTCAGCAATTTTTCCATTTGTAAAGGGACATAACTCTAGAACAGTTAAAGTGACACCACCAAAAAGTCAAACTTGATCTGTACTTTGTGATAATAAGCATTGTGTATAAATTTTATAGCATTTGGTTGAGGCAAACTAAAGTCAGAAAACGGAAACAAAAAATTTAGCAATTTTTCCATTTGAAAAGGGGCATAACTCTAGAACAATAAAAGTGACACCCCCAAAATTTAAAATTGATCTGTATTTTGTGGTAATAAGCATTGTGTATGAGTTTCATAGCATTTGGTAGAGGCTAACTTAAGTTAGAGAACAGAAACGAAAAATTCAGCCTTTTTTTTTTTATTCGTAAAGGGGCATAACTCTATAATGGTTAAATTGAAGCCACCAAAATTCAAACTTGATCTGTGTTTTGTGGTAATAAGCATTGTGTATAACATTTGGTTGAGGCAAACTAAAGTTAGAGAACAGAAACCAACTTTCGGGACGTACGGACGGATGTACAGATGGACAAGGGTAAAACTTAATGCCCCCTCCCCTACGGCGGGGGCATAAAAAACGTCAACATCTGTGACTACAAAAATGGTTCATTGTTTGAACAATGAAGGTCGAAAAGTACTTATATTATAAGTCCTGAGTATGATCATTGTCATATTTATTGATCAATTACTGTTAATATCTTGTTGTACATACAGTTACACATATACTAGCAATTATTACATGTATGATTTCATTGCCTTATGTTATCAGTACTAATACTTATACATTTGTACTCAATTAACTGTATTCAGTAATTCCATGATGTGAAAAATAATATTTTTTTTTACTAAGGATTTGGTCAAGTAAATATCTAGCTTTTACCCGACCATTAAAAAGTACAGGCTCTTTATGTTGGGGTCTAAAACACAAACAAAAAGGGTAAACGAATCGTCATTTAAGGGAAATCCTTCCTATGAAGAGTCTACTAATGATTTGGGCAAAATTTGACTTATTTGTAGATCTTTTCTTGTTGATAATTTTTGCTTTTTAAATGGTCTACCTATATTTTATAGCATTCAAGATATTAGGCAAAACATTAAAATAGGAGCAATAACTCTAATAAGGAGCAGACTGACGATTTTGGCCATTGGACTTATTGTAGATCTTGTCTTGCTGATCATTTGTACTTATTTTAAGTTTCTATCTATCTGTTACACTTTTTATAAAGATATTGGGCAAACAGGCAAAAAAAATGGTAAAAATCATCATTAAAGAGCAATAACTCAAATAAGAAGTTGTCTGACAATTTCAATCATGTAAAATTTATTTGTAGAGCTTGCCTTGCTTATCATTTTTGGTATATAAAGTTTCTCCCTATCTGTTATAATTTTCAAGTTAGTAGGTAAAAATGAAAAAAATGGTACAGTTATTTCTTCTTTTATTTGAAAAATGGTGAACACTTGCTCATTTTGGCCAAATATTCTGAAGAAGAAAATATTTTCTGCAATATCCTAATGAAAATTTTCATATTCAATATGCACTTTTGTAGTTTTTAATGAAAACAAACCAACTGATCTGATAATATGAAAAAGATAATTAAAACAGACCCAAACATTCATAAGATACTACTTTTTTTCTGTCAGATTGAACAACAGCTACTTCTAACAGACACATGGTACAGGAGGATATTTTTACTCATTGACATTATAATGTTTATATTTTAGATCTAGTTAATGTACAGTGACAAGTTTTTTTCAGTGCTTATATCCATTGGTGGCCTTGGGCTGTTTTCTGCTCTTTGGTCGGGTTGTTGTATCTTTGACACGTTCCCCATTTCCATTCTCAATTTTATTATTTTATGAAGAATACAATAACAATACAAACCTAGACTGCCATGGAGTTATAACTCCATCATCAGGACCTCCTATCAATACCAGCTTCTTTAAACGTAGAAAGTTATTTCTGTAGTCTGAAAAATTAATTTTGTTAATTACTTTTATGAATACCAGCATTATTATGGACTGACCAAACAATTATTTATCTGCCTCCATTACTTCCTACATTAACTATCTTCTGGAATTTAAATAATTCAACAATCCCTTGGATAAACTGTAGGTACATTTGTACCTCATGCAGCTTATGTGAATAATATAAAACAAATTATAGACTAACATAATATACTTCAATTTAATTAATGATCATCATTGATGCAGTCGAACCAATCTATTCTGTATTCATATGGGTGCTGCTGCTACAATGAATCCGGATTTTCTTAAATTAATTTTTACTTTGATTCCGTCTCGCAGGTAAACAATCAACACCTGTATAGAAATACCTTGTGAATCCCAACTGATTACAACATATTAACCCTATTCTAACGACCCTGATCTCTCTGGACTTATCTCTTTTGATATGAAAGCTTCTGTCCGTTAACATGTTTTGTTATTGATTTCCCTCCCCTTACTGATATTCCCCTGATTAAATCAATGAATTTAGATTTTCGATCATTTCGTATGATCAATAAATAACCAATAAACTGCTTCGCCAAGCGCAGCTGGATAAGACCACAGAGGTCCAACCCTGAACAGTTGGGTCAAAAATGGACACAATATTCAAGCTTGATACAGGTCTGAATTTGGATTGTAATTAAATATTTGACACATTATAGAAAAAATTAATTTTGAAGAAATTTTCTTTTTGTAAAATGTGGTACAAATTAAGAGACATCCATACACCTAAACACAAGTTATTGGTGAAAACTAGAAAAATGCTTGTTTTAGACCCTTTTTGGCACCTAATTCCTGAACGGTTTGGGCAATTACCCCAAAAATGAATCCCAACCTTCTACTTGTGGTATTGAACCTTTTGGTACAATTTCAGAGCAATCAAAATACTTATACACAAGTTATTGTCCTGAAACTAGAAAAATGCTTGTTTTGGCCACTTTTTGGCCCCTAATTCAAAAACGGTTGGGACCATCACCCCCAAAAACAATCCCAACCTTCCTTTTGTGGTATTGAACCTTTTGGTTAAATTTCATAGAGATCCATACACTTAAACTAAAGTTATTGTCCAGAATCCAAATGTATGATTTGAATTCATATTCAATTGAAGATTTCTTGCTGTTGTGCAATACTTTTCAGACTATATACAAAGAATTAGCAAAATAAATTGTGACCCCCAACTTTTTTCTTTGGAAAATTGACAATTTCTTAAATCTTGAGGGGAAAAAAATTGACCCCCCCCCCCCCAGAATTTTTTTTTTACCCCCCCCCCCCCCCCCCCCCAATTTTATTTTTTTTAACCCTTGAGGGAAAAAAATTAATTTTGAAGAAATTTTCTTTTTGTAAAATGTGGTACAAATTAAGATCCATACACTTAAACTAAAGTTATTGTCCGGAAACCAAATGTCCTCGGATGCCGCTGACGCCAACGACGTGATACCATTATATGATTGCGGTCGTATAAAAATAGCTCATGTTTTAGGCATTTGTATACGTTAGTCCTGAAAGTTTTATATCATGGATTTTTCAGTTGTCCCGTCAGACAACTAATATGGTGATTCTACTTGTCCGACGCCTATATCCACTTGTCCCGGACAATCGGACAAACAGTAATGTTGAGCCCTGAGCTTAAAAGCATAACTGGTTGTTGGTGGTCAAACATTACATTTGTAGATATGTTGCTGTTTCATTAAAATATATCCCACAAGTTTTATTACTTACTTGAATTCTGTCCGCTATCAAGCTTGTATAAGTAAGATGAAAACTGGTGATACAGATCTGTATGGTGGGGATCTGTAAAACATACCAAGATTTAAAAATAAAAAAATGTTTATATTATACTGAGTATCATGTGGGTATCTATAAATACATACATATATTCAAAAATATATTTGTTTATATTATACTGAGTATCATAACAAGAGTATCATAACATTAACACTAGATGTAAGTCCATAAATGCCTTTTGTTGCTTCCATTTTCTCTTCTAAGACTTGTGCATATTTGTCCTTAGACAGGTTTTAAAGTTCTAGGTTAATCATTATTTTATTTTTTTTTACTGTTTGTATGTTTTCCTAGATTTCACTGTTGAAATCCTTTCACCATATTATTTGAGGAACTTAAGAAGGTGGCTTGCCATTTCTTAAAATGTTGGATTCTCTTGGATGACTCTCAACTGTTTTACTGAGTCATTTAAACAGGTTTAGCACAACCTGCAAATGTGGAATAGTTTCATAACTGAGTAGCCGTATTGAATTTTACTATTAAGGGCAATATTGATATCATGACTATAGGTCATTGGAAATACTTTTTGACATAGATCCATTCAGGTTGCAAGCAGGCCAAATTTGATTTCAATTAGCCCAAAGAAGATTTTTTAATTTTTTTTTGGATGATGGACATAAAGTGAAAGCAATAGATCAAATTTGATCTATTGGAAAAGACAAATTGAATGAATACAGTATTACAGGCTTAAACAAGCACTCAACTACTGTTATATTATACAGTATAAATTCAAGTTATGTTGGAATACATCAACTGTGGCATCACTTAACATAACCTAGTCATAGTATTTTGATGAAAAGATAGATTATAATATAAATGAACAAAAGAACAGCAGTGTGGACAATTATAAGGAGATAAGGTATAACTGCCAATGAGACAATTATCCACAGAGACCAAAGGACATGGATGTAAGCAACTTCTTTAGCTCACTTTACACTATATATCATCAGCTTTTGGTGGCAGGGTATAAATACTGAACTAATAGACCATTAACATCAATATTATTGAAGAACATATTTAGTGTTATTATATGTATATATACCTCTCCAGTAATTTGCTACAGACCATTTCTGTCCATTCTTTGTGTAGAAGTATCTGTAATATCAAGGAAAGAGGGATCACTCTTACAATTTTATGATAAATCTAATGAATTCAGTATTATGTCACCTTTCAGAAATATCATTTAAAACTTCTAAAGTTATCATAATATCATAATAAAAGTATACATTGATCAGGTAGAACTGAAATTACACACAGCTAGTAAATGTGGTATGCATTGCACATTATAAAGATTAGAATTTATTTTTTACAGTGTAGTGAAGATCACAAAAATATAAAAAGCAAATTAAGAAAACTTTTACCACTATTTATAATTCTTTAAATAAATGACCCTTCATAACCCTGTTCATTACACAAAAATGCTAGATAAGTATTGAGAATTCAATAAACATTATTCCTCTTATTCTGCCCTCTATGTATTTGAGTGAATGAGTGACCTACTACCCATGTTCCATTTTATCACAAGTTAAGATGATCCTACTACATTAAGACACTGCGATATAACCTTGGATGTAAAATTTTATCAAAGTTCACGAAGCATGGAATATAGGCCAGTGACCTTTTTGTGCCTGAATATTGATCTACACCACTTGCATATCTTCTTTTAAATTTGATAAGATGATTCTCAAACTTAGAGGCACCAAGTGAGTTAAATTATTAGATCAATGAATAATATTTCTGATGCCATACTTTTACTTTGATACTGACCACCTCCCAATGATACAACTCTACACAAGTTTAGATGGTCCTATTACTTATAGATACTGAGAACAAGGAAGTTAAGAAATAAAAATGCATATTTACACAAGATTACATGATGCTCTTTAACTTAGAAGTAACGGTGACATAATCTAAAAGGTAAAATTGAATTTAAGAAAATAAAATAAATGGGGAATGTATCCATGGGACACAGATGATGCCCCGCTTGCATATCATGTAAAGTTATAAAGGGACAAAACTGAAGAACGTTAGAAGTGATGCTACCCAAATTTGTACTTGATCTGAGTTTTGTGGTAATAAGTATTGTGTATAAGTTTCATAACATTTGGTTGAGGCAAACTTAAGTTAGAGAACAGAAACGAAAAATTCAGCAATTTTTCCATTTGTAAAGGGGCATAACTCTAGAACAGTAAAAGTGATACCACCAAAATTCCATCTTGATATGTGTTTTGTGGTAATAAGCATTGTGTATAAGTATCATAACATTTGGTTGAGGCAAACTAAAATTAGAGAACAGAAACAAAAAATTCAGCAATTTTTCCATTTATAAAGGGGCACAACTCTAGAATGGTTAAAGTGACACCACCAAAATTCCATCTTGATCTGTGTTTTGTGGTAATAAGCATTGTGTATAAGTTTCATAACATTTAGTTGAGGCAAACTAAAGTTACAGAACGGAAACAAAAAATTCAGCAATTTTTCCATTTGTAAAGGGGCATAACTCTAGAACGGTTAAAGTGACACCACCAAAATTCAAACTTGATCTGTGTTTTGTGGTAATAAGCATTTTGTATAAGTTTCATAACATTTGGTTGAAGCAAACTAAAGTTAGAGAACGGAAACCAACCTTGGGACGTACGGACAGACGGACGTACGTTCAGACGAACAAGGGTTAAACTTTATGCCCCCTCTGCTATGGGGCTGGGGTGGGGGTGGGGGCATAAAAACAACGAACTATCCGAGTGTTTATTAGTAAATATATTATAAAGACATTTAGTTCCCCATATATTATATCAAAAACTTACTTATATATGGTTTCTTTGAGGTAGTATGGAAAAAAGTCCTTCAGGTAGTCTGTGTCTGAAAATAAATAACAAATCCAAACTTGTTTAATACAATGTCCAGTATAAATAGAAAGTGAAAGTAGGTATGTAAGTGAACATGATCACCAATGTCAAATAAAATGTAAATATGAATGACACCTTGCATAATATTTATTCATTCATAATACTTAAAAATAAAATAGATTTTGAATCAACAACGATATAATGCTAAAATTGTGAAAATCAAACTTGACCTTCATTTAGTCACAGGAAACAACATATCTAAATTTGAAAAGATTTCGTCAAAGCGTTTTCAAGTTATTTCACGCACAAGGCTCTAAGTATCACTTTTCGCTACTTAAAGGTCTACAACTCAACAACGATAAAATCTAAAATTGTGAAAATCAAACTTGACCTTCATTTAGTCACAGGAAACAATATCACCCATTCCAGTTTAGTTATTGGTCATAAAAGGTGAGATGGCAAAGATACAGTTCCCATCCTCCTTTGCCATTGACAGAATGTATCCTACTTACCACCATACTGACCAGCTAATGGTGAACTTAAAGCTATAAACGTGTCAACATTATGTTCCAATACAGATAGCAAACCTCTACATATCAGACCACCTGAAATCAAAATCAATATGGAATTTACAAAAATACGTAAATCTAGAAAAATAACTTTGGAGAACAAGACTTAATTCAGGTATTGTTCTATGTAGATTCCATTCTCAATTCTTTCAAATTTGGTTGAAATATGACCACTTTAAATATATATTTTTTGGGATTATTTTGAAAATGGTGACTAAACAGGCTAAAGGATTATTCTTGACTTGTGGATCATTTACTATGTACATCAAATGTCAATTTTGTTGAAATCCTACCATAAAAAGACAACTTGCAAAATTTGTGATTACTCTTAACAAAAACTATATGTTGTGTTGAGTAAATCTCTTTTTAACTCTTCTATAAATAAATTTCAAAATCCAGAATTCATTTGGTCAGTGATTTGTTTCCATCTCATCAAAATTCTATAGATAATCTAACAAACCTTGAGAAAAAACATATGCTCTAACAAACCTTGAGAAAAACATATGCTCTAACAAACTTTGAGAAAAACATATGCTCTAACGAACCTTGAGAAAAACATATGATCTAACAAACCTTGAGAAAAACATATGAACAAACTTTGAGAAAAACATATGCTCTAACAAACCTTGAGAAAAACATATGATCTAACAAACCTTGAGAAAAACATATACTCTAACAAACCTTGAGAAAAACATATGCTCTAACAAACCTTGAGAAAAACATATGCTCTAACAAACCTTGAGAAAAACATATGCTCTAACAAACCTTGAGAAAAACATATGATCTAACAAACCTTGAGAAAAACATATGATCTAACATTTAACCTTGAGAAAAACATATGCTCTAACAAACCTTGAGAAAAACATATGATCTAACAAACATTGAGAAAAACGTATGCTCTAACAAACCTTGAGAAAAACATATGATCTAACAAACCTTGAGAAAAACATATGATCTAACAAACCTTGAGAAAAACATATGATCTAACAAACCTTGAGAAAAACATATGATCTAACAAACCTTGAGAAAAACATATGCTCTAACAAACCTTGAGAAAAACATATGATCTAACAAACCTTGAGAAAAACATATGATCTAACATTTAACCTTGAGAAAAACATATGCTCTAACAAACCTTGAGAAAAACATATGATCTAACAAACATTGAGAAAAACGTATGCTCTAACAAACCTTGAGAAAAACATATGATCTAACAAACCTTGAGAAAAGCATATGAGATGGACACCATCTGGATTGCTGTTCATTATAGGTTGAACTATCTTGGTAATATTGTTGACTTGTTCCCATAGTGGTGAAAAACTTTTCTCTTTATTGAAGGCATTGACTGCTGTTATCTGTGTTCCTGGATGAACCTGAAGCATAAATGATACAATATCTTTTGGTACAAATTTAGAGGACTATCAAATTAATGAGTCTAAACTCAATGAAGTGTAAGTATATAAGAGACAGAACTTAAAATTCTGAAATGAAGGGTTACTAATATAAATATCAAACCTCTTGTGTAAAATCTTCTACGTATGTATTTTGTTAACATACCTACATGTATAATAAGACATGATATTATATTGTCAAGATACTATTCCCAGGTGGAATATAGGGACAATCGAAGTCCTAACTTGTTTAAAATTTCTATTAATGACTTTCTTTTATTACTGAAACAAACATCTGACTCGATTATACTAAATTCTCGGCTTATTATAGTATACATTGTTTAATTCTCTGCCTACTATAGTATACATTGTTTAATTCTCTGCCTATTATAGTATACATTGTTTAATTCTCTGCCTATTAGAGAATACATTGTTTAGTTCTCTGCCTATTATAGTATACATTGTTTAGTTCTCTGCCTATTATAGAATACATTGTTTAGTTCTCTGCCTATTATAGAATACATGGTTTAATTCTCTGCCTATTATAGAATACATGGTTTAATTCTCTGCCTATTATAGAATACATTGTTTAATTCTCTGCCTATTATAGAATACATTGTTTAGTTCTCTGCCTATTATAGTATACATTGTTTAGTTCTCTGCCTATTATAGTATATTGTTTAATTCTCTGCCTATTATATTATACATTGTTTAGTTCTCTGCCTATTATAGTATACATTGTTTAGTTCTCTGCCTATTATAGTATACATTGTTTAATTCTCGGCCTATTATAGAATACATTGTTTAGTTCTCTGCCTATTATAGAATACATTGTTTAATTCTCTGCCTATTATAGAATACATTGTTTAGTTCTCTGCCTATTATAGAATACATTGTTTAGTTCTCTGCCTATCATAATATACATTGTTTAGTTCTCTGCCTATTATAGTATACATTGTTTAGTTCTCTGCCTATTATAGTATACATTGTTTAATTCTCTGCCTATTACATGTATAGTATACATTGTTTAGTTCTCTGCCTAATATAGTATACATTGTTTAATTCTCGGCCTATTATAGAATACATTGTTTAGTTCTCTGCCTATTATAGAATACATTGTTTAGTTCTCGGCCTATTATAGTATACATTATTTAGTTCTCGGCCTATTATAGTATACATTGTTTAATTCTCGACCTATTATAGTATACATTGTTTAATTCTCTGCCTATTATAGAATACATTGTTTAGTTCTCTGCTTATTATAGTATACATTGTTTAGTTCTCGACCTATTATAGTATACATTGTTTAGTTCTCTGCCTATTATAGAATACATTGTTTAATTCTCTGCCTATTATAGTATACATTTGTTTAGTTCTCTGCCTACTATAGTATACATTGTTTAGTTCTCGGCCTATTATAGTATACATTGTTTAGTTCTCTGCCTATTATCATGATTATAGTATACATTGTTTAGTTCTCTGCCTATTATAGAATACATTGTTTAGTTCTCTGCCTATTATAGTATACATTGTTTAATTTTCGACCTATTATAGTATACATTGTTTAATTCTCTGCCTATTATAGAATACATTGTTTAGTTCTCTGCTTATTATAGTATACATTGTTTAGTTCTCTGCCTATTATAGTATACATTGTTTAATACTCAGTCTACTATAGTATACATTGTTTAGTATGCGTTTGATTTAACGTTCTGGTCTAGGTCTCTTTTCCATTCCAGTGACAAGAATTATTTATTCCTTCAACTTGCTTTTCTGGATAAGAGACCAGGTGGACCTCTGTTATGATAAACTGAATACAATGTTTGTGTTGGCACTCTGGCATGGCAGTAAAATCAAAGATATGAGACTATGGAAGAACTATAAACTAATTTAAAAAATAATATATATGTATAATAACTAGTAATATGTTAATATATTGTGATATTGTTTAAGATCATATTATGATATACATTATTATATAATATTTATATATTTTTATGTGTTATGAATGAGAATGTATTGTGTATTATTGTCATTATGTCCCTTCGGCGCCCTGGGCCTACTTCGATTCGTCCAACTCGGGTTGACTAGAGTTATAAAATCAGTGTTAATCATGTGCGCACCCTTCCCGAATCAAAGTGAAAACTCTTCTCGAGTTGTCTCTCAAAATGGTGGATATAAATATAGCAGCAGTAATTAATTTTCTTCTTATAGACTTCGATAATAAACAACTTTATGTTCAAATTTGTAACATTATTAAATTAAAGAACTTTTATCATTTAATCATTTCCAGGTCATTACATTCATTTTAAAACTCGTGTTGTAAGTAAAGAGAATGGATTGTCGTAATACATTCACATCTTACTCTTAGCAACTCAAATTCACGAAGATATCTTTTTTCTCTGCTCTATTTATAAACATCACCGACAGTATTTACCCACGAAAAATATTTATTTCATTCCAAAAAACAAACAAAAAATAATTTCACTAACAGCCCCTTTCTCTGGCTGTATTTGGTAAAATTTTAGTTACAAATGTATTTGTATCATACTTTTCTTTGCTGGAGCTTCTTGACGCCATTTTGAAACTCTACTAAACCTGCCCAAACCCTGGGGGTTGATGTTGCACAGGTAGGTTCAAAAGGTTCGATTGTCAGTCGAGTAAACTCGAGACTCTACTAACCCGAGTTGGACGAATCGAAGTATAGGCCCAGAATTGGAAATAAAGAACATGAACTTTGAACTTTATTTATAATTGTTGTTTTTTTTAGCATAATAAGATCGATATTTCAAAATATAATGATAATTCCTAATGATATCCTTTTGGATGGTGACATTGATGAAAACAATTTAGCAAACGAATACTCAGTATCAGTAATCGATTTAAACTAGGGACGAACGTTAATAGGGCGAACGGACCCAGATCCGTATCCTCAACAGTATACATGTATCATTGTATGTTTTTGTACTGTGCGTTTTTACCTTACTAAGAGTAGAAATCAAAAATTCTGCCTCAGAAGGACTCCCGATAATGCCATGCATAAATATAATGGGCTTGTATTGAACTGTAACAGGGACAACTAATGCAAAAATTAGGAATGTTAACGTTAATCCTATCTCCTTCCTCATGATTGTCTGTCAACCTTTAACCTCACTTTATTTCGATAAATCTCGGACCTTATGATGATTCAGCCAACAAGGAGCTATAGATACGACTATTATCCTAATTGAAAGCATCATTAAATTTTCCTTTAAAGGAAAAATTCCTGCAAGCCATACTGTTTTGCTTCAGTTATAGGTTACAAAATGCATATATATATGATTTTACTCGGGCCAAAGCCATGTCGTACCCAAGCCAACGCGGACCAATTTAAGACAACTCGGACCAATTCAAGACCACACGGATTAGGTTGAAATACAATTTGGTCCAGTTTGAAAGACAACTATAATAAAGACGACTCGAACCACTTTTTAAGTGATTTTTTAAAGACATCGTGAACCAGTTTGAAAGCCTACCCGACCACCTATATTATCACTTGTAAGTGATCTGGCCAGATGTCATGAATCCGGGTCCGTTCGCGCCCAATCACGTTCGCCCCCATGCACGTTCGCCCCCCTTTCACTTATGCACCCTACACGTTCGCACCCAGAGTCCGTTCGCACCCTACACGTTCGCGCCCAATTTTTATTGGTTTTGTGTTTAATAATTTGTAAACGAGTTTTGGTAAGTGTATTGCTATAAATATATATTTTTTCATTGTTTCTAAATAAAGTGAGATTCTGACAAGTTTTTTTTTTGTGTCATGGTAAATATATTGCTATAAACATTTTTTTTCATTGTTTTTAAATAAAGTGAGTTTCTGACGACCAGTATTTTATTTTTGTGTTGAATAATTTTTAATCATGTTTTGGTTAGTGTATTGTTATAAATATTTGTTTTCATTGTTTCTAAATAAAGTGAGATTCTGACAACGTTTTTTGCATGTGTTGATAAAATCTTAATCATGTTTTGGTTAGTGTATTGCTTTAAATATTTCTTTTTTATTGTTTCAAAAGGAATTGGGATTATGAAAACGTTTTTTATATGTGTTGAATAATTCGTAATCATGTTTTGGATAGTGTATTGCTATAAATATTTTTTTTCATTGTTTATGAATGAAGTGGGATTCTGACACACATGGGATCAAAGGAGCCAAGCTGTTAAAAACAATTATCTTTCATGTTTTTTTATTTAAAATCTTCAAAGTTTTACTCATACCAAGCTAAATACATGCAGTATTTACATCACAGCAAGTTAAAACAACCATGACAACAATCATGATTTTTAAACACTCAACAATAACACCAAATTAGGCTGTGTATAAATACCAATTAACAGTAATCATACATAATTAACATTTAATAATTAATCATCAAATCAATTTAAAACAATATTTCATTTAAAAATTCCCGAATTTTTATTTATGAAAATAAAAATATTTTGATATAAAAATCTACAAAACATCTAAAAATTTATCAGGTTTTTAATAAAAAAAAAAAGGGTGCGAACGTGTAGGGTGCGAACGGACCTAGGGGGCGAACGTGTGGGGTGCGAACGTGTAGGGTGCGAACGTGTATTGGGCGCGAACGGACCCGATACCAGATGTCATAGGCGAGAAGAATCATACCGGCTTCCGGAGCACCTGAGATCGCCCCAATTTTTTGGTAGGCTGTTGCTCAGTCTTTAGTTTTTAGTCTTTCTTCTTAAGTGTTGATATTTTGTCATTCAGTTTTTATTGCCCCTTTAGTATCCTCCCCCCTTTTTTGTTAATAATTATTGATACCTTTAACAATTAAATTTTGAATCCTGTTTTGAATATTTTAACTGCTATTGTTTGCTCTAAAGATGAGAGCCCTTGCTTGGAATATACATATTTCATTGTTATCATTGTATGAAATTTAAAGCCCTCGAGAGTCCATGATTGGTAAAATATAAATTAAACTCGAAATTTCTATTTCTATACGAACATGAATTATCGGGATAAATTAACATGAATCATTCAGTACCGTTTCGTCAATATTAAAGACTTATATATAATACCATTATTATAACTTTCTTCAAATATTTAAATGTGGTATTTCAGTTGATATTTTATAGTGTGTCTTTCTATGTTGTGATGTTACAATATTGTTTCAGGAAAAAGGGCGAAGGTTTGGTACCATTAAAACGTTTAAACCCGCTGCAATTGTTTGCACCTGTCCTAAGTCAGGATAAGTCAGGAATCTGATGTTCAGTAGTTGTCGTTTGTTGATGTGGTTCATAAGTGTTTCTCGTTTCTCGTTTTTTATATAGATTAGACCAATTGGTTTTCCCGTTTGAATGGTTTTACACTAGTAATTTTTGGGGCCCTTTATAGCTTGCTGTTCGGTGTGAGCCAAGGCTCCGTGTTGAAGACCGTACTTTGACCTATAATGGTTTACTTTTATAGATTTTGACTTGGATGGAGAGTTGTCTCATTGGCACTCATACCACATCTTCTTATATCTATTGTAATAGCTATTGTTAGGTAACACTGAGACTATTATAACACGGTATCTCAGGATAACAATAAAATTGTAGGAAACTTGACGGTGCAACAAACAAATGTAAAACACAAAGGTATGATACCGACTTAATCTTCGATATTTGTACCAGGAACATATATATTGACAGTTAGATATACTGTTCCCAGTTTGTACCTATTACAAATCACAACATTTAAAAAGAAATACACAAAGAATCAACACTAAGAAACACCCTGAATCAAACAAGAAGTTGTCTCTGAAACTGACATCATATCAAAATGCTGGATTTTTTTTAATGACTACATACTTTGTTATACGTTTGGAAAACTTTCATCTACATAAACGCTGAGGCCGAACCTCATGTTTCAGCGGTTCTCTGCATCTATTCATTCAAATTTCGGAATATAAAGACCTGGATGCTGCATACCTTATATAGATATAAGAAGATGTGGTATGAGTGCCAATGAGACAACTCTCCATCCAAGTCACAAATTGTAAAAGTAAACCATTATAGGTCAAAGTAAGGCCTTCAATACGGAGCCTTGGCTCACACCGAACAGCAAGCTATAAAGGGCCCCAAAAATGACTAGTGTAAAACCATTCAAACAGGAAAACCAACGGTCTAATCTATATAAAGAAACGAGAAACACCTATGAACCACATCATCAAACGACAACCACTGAATTGTATGCAGATGCCTTATACATGTTATATGTTACGAAGTTTCCGTCTGTCATATGTTTATTGTCTCGACCTCATTTTCATGGTTCAGCGACTGCTTGAAAATAATGTATTGTTTTGTTATATGAAATTCTCCGAGTAGGATAACTATATTTTGTATATTGAATCCTTTTAAACTTTTCGTGTCCTTCAGACAGGGTTCACCTGACCTCAACCTTATTTCACGGATCAATTATCAATGTTTATAGTTCTCATGGTCTAGTCCATATCTCAAATACTATAAGCAATAGATCAACCATATTTGGTGTATGGAAAAATAGTAAGATGCACATGTTCGACTGGCAATTTTCATCTGACCATGACCTCATTTTCATGGTTCATTGGACAATATTAAGTTTTTGTGTTTTCTTTCTATTGCCCAGATACTTTTTTTGATAGGGCGACTATATTTGAATGGAATGATTCAGGCAATTGTGTATTTGTCTGTCTTGCATGTTTCATCTGACTGTAACCTCATTTTCATGGTTCATTGAATATGACAGTTGTTTTCAAATAGTTCGTTTCTATATATGTTAGCGGGTTTGTTACTTTTTTGTTCACTTCAGTGTTCCTGTTGTTCGTTTGTTTTCCTCTTATAATTGATGTGTTTCCCTCGGTTTTAGTTTGTAAACCGGATTTGTTTTCTCTCAATCGATTTATGACCTTTGAACACCGGTATACTACTGTTGCCTTTATTCATTGATCAATTGTAAGTTTTCATGAATCAAGGTGTCTGTTTATAGTTACTATAAGCAATAGATCAACTATCCCAGCAAACACAAAAACATCTTTAAAATGTTTTTAAAATGTTGTGTCTAATGTCATGAAAATATCACAAAAAAACGTGAGAAAAACATTAAATGTATGGTAGAATATATATCGCTAAAACGTTTTCTAATATATTTTCTAAAATATTTGCATAATATAATTAAAATGTTGTAAAGAAATATCATGATAATGTGAAAAACAATGGCGTATAAAACATTTTGATAATCTTTTAAAAAATATTTTCTAGAAATATTTTCTGAACGTTTGAAAAATATCATGAACATCAAATAATGTTATAAAAATGTTTTTTGGATGTTTTCTTGCAAGTGAGACTGTTAAGAAGATGTTTTTGGTTGATATCTAGATCATATCAATAAAAAAATGTCTGTACTTTTAATTGAGTTTCCTGCTTTTTTAAATAACAAATCATTAGTTAAATTAATTTATACACAGTGATTAATTCTATACATGTATACAAACAAGAATAAATCAGTTGTTTTGCTAAGCATATGAAATTCACAATTCAAAGTCTCTAAAAACAAGAAGTATCTACAAATTTTGACACATCCAAAATGGCAGACACAACTCATCATGGTCAAGCCACTTACCAAATATGAAGTCATTCTGTTCATCAGCATTACTAATTAAAGTAATGAAAAATTTGAGAACATTCAAAATTTTGAAATACAAAGTATAAGCAAACAGGAAACAGGTGCCAGATACAAAAATGTTCACACATCACAGTTCATCACTATCAAGCAGCTCATTAAATATGAACTCATCTTTATCAGCAGTTTTGTGAAAAACAGCACTTGATGAAAATATTTGTTGGACAAAATCCGACAAATATAGGTGGACAGATGACAGACAGTGCAAGAAAACCCACATTCCAACCACAATGGTATAATGTTTAGTTTTTCACTCTCAACTTTTATTACCTATCTTATACACATCATGCATATGTCAACCTGAACATGCATGACATATATGCCATTGGACATTATGCAAATATTATACACATTTTTAAGTTCAAGTTACATTGACTAAAACTTGTGTCCCAAATTCAGATTTTTCAATACAACTTCTCTTTCTAAACTAAAACGCTACACTTCTAATAGGGTTACATCTTAAGTCAATAATCATTGATAATTGGCTGAACAGATGAGAACAAAACACCATTTTACATCAACTATTTGATTTATTTAAGAATACATTGAAAAAGTCAATCAATTGTCTTATTCAAAATCACTAGGAATGTCTTGTAGTGTCTTATATCTTTTTCTTGCTGTG